ATTCCATCATTCGAGTTTGTTGACCAGTCCGAAATCGATGCGCCTTTATTTGCCACTGATTATGTATCACTACTTGGGAATAAAACAACAAACATCTTAGAAATTCGTGATTTTTCATTTTTCGGCTGAAAAATAATACAGAATTATTCTATTATGTGTTGTGCAAATGAGTAATACAAAATTAATTGTATGTTCAGCACCTGAAAATAGTTTCATAAATTCTGAAATTATCCGAATTTGCATAACCCATAATCCCTACTTCACAATTAATAAAGCTGACTTTCAAGATGTATTTTAAGATATGTGATAAAATAGCTTGTAGCTTCGAGTTCTCAATAATGATATATTCCAAGTAAAATTTTATTGGAATTTTTATATAACATTTTTCCAAACTTTCCTTTTTTGATGATTGCTGGTTTTCTTCCTAAGGAACATGTAAAATTCATAAAAACGAAACAAACTGGTGTAATGAAATCTGGTTTCCAGAAAAATAGTTCTTGAAGAAGGTTTTTTTTTTTTTTTTTTTTTTTTTTTTTTTTTTTTAAGAAGACTAAATGCTAATCTATATTTTTATTGCTACAGGTAACTTTATTAAAATGACAGTCAGAATTAGAATCATGGTAGCATTAAAAATATTTTTTTCACTTTCAAGGAATCCATCAGATATTATAAAAGTTATTGTTCAAGGCATCTGCCAGAAGAAACTATTCAATACCATTCTCAATGTTATTATGACTAAACCTTAATGCCAATCCCCTCTACTGAAGAAAATATGAACTAAATATTTATATCCTGCTAAAAAGTCCTTTTTACATTTAAATTTTATGAAAACATTTCAGTTCTTCAGTTTATAGATTTAAAAAAATCTTTAGTGATTATTATATTTTATTATTTTCATATTAATATTTATTACACTTTAATTTTGCAGCCTATGTCCTTTCTTACATCTTGCAAATGTTTCATTTGCTCACCACTGCCAGGGCTGCGATAAGGTGTTCAAATAAAGTAGCTACAAGCTTTATTTAAATATTGATTCTAGACATACACTTTTAATTATGAAGTTCTTCAATATAAGGAATAGAATTTAATAAGAACTGTCTCAACAGGATGTGAGAGATTGCACTACAACTATTAAATGTAACTTTTACATAGAGCAAAAATTCTAATCATCAAAACATTCTTTATGCTGTAGCAAGTTAAGGTAAAACAAAGTTGCATATTTAAATTTGTGAAAAAGCAATAAAACATAAGTGGTTCACCTTGGCAATTAATGGTTTTGTACTGAGTAAAACAGCAATTTGAAGCCGACCTTGAGAAAATATTACAAATATTTTACTAAAATTTTGATGTAAAGGTATGGATATTCTTGCAATTAATTTATTAGTACATAACTCATACACTTGACTTATTACACTTTATTAGCACATAACTCATACTTATTCTAAGGGTATCATAAAAAGCTTAATTTAGTATTTAGAAAAGCATTCTGCCTCTTATGATAAAACTGTGCACAGGAAATTCCCTATCTTATTATGAAAAGCTTAGACCTTAACAGCAAGTTGAGGTAAGGAAGCTTATTTAATTACTAAACAAGTATATTGAAATGCATTAATTACTGGGGGGGGTTACATTTACTTTACTGCAAGTTATTTTAAATCCATAGTTTACATCTTGTAACTTCTGGCAATAAAATTCATGAAGTTTCCAACTTCATTGCAAACCACTGTTCCTAATGTTGTCTGCTAGTCACAAATAAAGTAACACTGAAAAGTTTACACAGAGCCATGGTTACAATTTTTGGATTTTTGCATTCTAGTGCTAAGGATATAAAGAAAACACAAACTCAGCTATTTTGCAACTATTTTTTTTTCTTAGTGGATAATACTAACAAAAAATAATGCATTATACAACAATCATTCACTGGAACTTCTTGAATTGAAACAGCTAGATGTTGCTAATGCATCATCAATCTCTATCACTACCCAATTTTTCAAATGCAGGATAAGGAAATAAATACAACTTATTACTTTTCAGCATGAAAACTTATCACAGTTTTAGTACTGTATCATTAAAATTAAAGCAAATTAAATTAAAATATTAAATTAAAAAATATTTTCATAGTTTCAAATTAAAACTATGCAATAAAGAATTATGTTTACAAGTCCAAATTAAAACTGTCTGTGGCACATGGGTCACATTAAAAAACCACTGAAAAATAGATTCCAACTGTATCAGATTAATCATATACAATGCACCTATATCAATTAATACAAAAGTTATACACATAAAAAAATTTAAATTACAATTTTATGCACATAAAATTCTGTTAACTATTATGCTAAGATAGTTTCTTCAAAGTAAAAAACAAAAAATTGCTTTTGATTTTTGTCTCTTTTCCACAGAATGTTTTAGAAAGAGCATCTCTAAATTCTAAAGTAGTTTGTAATTTTGAGCAGTTCATTAATCAATTTTACTTTAAACTAGCCACTACTGTTTTTTGAAATGTTTCTAATTTTTACAGGAAATTGCAATTCCATAGATCATTTACTAAGACAAACTTTGAAAATGCATATTCATAACATCTAATATTATTGTGGCATTGAATGAGTTCTCGGTATTTCTCAACAGATGGAATTACCAGAACTGCATGCATGTAATTTAAGATGGTGATGCATCTATATGGAAGTACATAAGCAAGCCTGAAATTCAGTGTACATCATTTCAGTAAAGTGTAAACAGTTTTTTTTTCATAGCATTAAACACGTCAAATTTCTTGCTAACAAAAGAGTATTTGTGGGTTATTTCACTGCACTATTTTATCAAAAACAATTCTGTAGCTGAAGCACACAGAATTCTTGTTTAAATTTACGACGGTGATGCTCTGTTGAAAACAGCATGCAGAGATTGGTTTGAGATGCTTAATAACGATTCTGATGTTGAAGATAAAGTACACTCTGACACACCAAAAATGTTTGAAGACAAAGAATTGGAGCCATTACTCCATGAAGACTCATGGAAATGCTATATGAACTTGCAGAATGCTCAGATGCTATATGAACTTGCAGAATTATTAGGATTTGATCATGCAATAGTTTTGAAATGTTTGAAAGTGTTAGAAATGATTCAAAAACAATGTCATTGGGTTCTGTACCAGGTGAAGTTCAGAGACATCAAAATGGCATCTTTACATATGTAAACAGCTGCTTCAAAGGTAGAAAAAGAAAGGTTTTCATATCATGACTGCTGATATAAAATGGTTACACTATTTTATATCAGCAGTCATGTAGCAGTCAGTATTTTATATCAGTAATTAACTATGATAACCCTAAGTGCAGAAAACCATGTGGTAAGCCTAGCCATGAATCAATATCATCGGCAAAGCTGAATATCTATGGTTCCAAGCTTCTGCTCTGCATCTGGTGGGATCAGCTGAGTGTAGTTTACTGTGAGCTGCTCAAATCAAATAAAATCATCACAAAAGATCACTTTTGACTATGGCTGATAGGTTTCAGTTGAGCATAGAAGGAAAAATGGCGACTATACAAGCAACAGTAACGATTTTCCAACATGAAAATGCTTGGCCAAATGTTGCAAACCTAGTGAAAACCTACTTTGAAATGCTTAAATGGGAAGTCCTACCTCCCTGTATTCACCAGACATTGCCCCTTCTGATCATCACTTGTTTCGATCAATGCCACATGGTCTCGCTGAGCAACACTTCCATTCTTAAATAGATGCCCCCTCCAAAAAGGGGCATCACTTGGATGGCCTTAAAAGACATGTTATTTTTCCAACATGGCATTGAAATGTTGCCAAAATGATGGCATAAACTAGTGGCTAGTTATGGAGAGTACTTTCAGTGACATATTTTTTATGTTTTTTTACCATTAATTTTCATGAAAAAACAGTGAGAATTTATTCAATAATCCAATATCAAAATCTTCCAAAACACAATAAAATATATTTTATGGCCAATATATAGCAATGCTAATAAATGCATTTATTAGCATTGCTTCATTTATGTTATGCACAATTGCTTCATTTATGTTATCTGCCTATCACTACTTAATTAACTAATGCTTTGGGAAATTGGCAGTTTATACATAGCTAAGTTTTCCGCAGCTGAAGAGGATGGCTACATGTGCCCAAATACAATGTAAAAAACAAACTAGTTTCTTTTTAAAAAGTCCTTTTTGATACATCTCTTTCAAAGCAAGAAGACTATGAATACCCCCTTACCTGCAAAAAATCCAAGAATAGATATTTTAATTTACAAGTTAGCTTTGATATTTTGCTTGATTAAGTAAGATATCAATACTTTTATTAACTAATGTTACTTTGACAACTTTAGATTATACAGGAATTCTGATTTCCTGTTTCCAATTCTAGAGGAAATATGTTGCACAAAGGTGCATCAGAAGAATTTATACGGCTTGTGAGAAATTTTAATAGAAATAATAAAAAAACTGAATTATAAATGTAAAAAAGTTTCAATCATTCCAATAAATATAGAATTGTGTTAATTGAAGAGGCTATAAGCATTAAGTCAGAATTATTCTATAAATTACATTAAAAATGCCTTTTATCAAATATGCTAATGATTATGTTCATAAAAGTAAAATGGATAATTTTTTTAATAATCTTGTTACCACCTATAATATAATATAAATTTTAGGAGGAAAGGTATTTAGAAATACATTCCTCTGCATTCTTGATATGAAATTTATAAAATATTTTAACATTTACTATTATGTTTGTGGTATGTGATATACAAATATTTTACACTTTTTAAATAATAGCATTTACAACTGTAGACCGCTATGTTTGATACATATAATTCTAGATATTAAAGTGAATGAATAGAAGTTCTAGGGTATATTTTTACATCATTTTATGAATATATGACTATAAATTTTAACAATACACTTTGTTTTTATCATTTACATAATTTAAAGCTTTAAAAAATCCATCATATGAGGTATTTCATAAAGGAGAAAAAGTAATACAACAAATTATCTTTAATATCAACAAATATAGAAAGAAACATTTGTATACTACTAATAAAAATTTCTATACAAAAGTACACTGATTCCATTGCTAATATCACAGTATAAAAACACAATCTCTGTAGTTAGTCTACGTGGTTTCAGATTGCAAAAATGAAGTTGGGATTTAATTTTTTATTGCTGCAATGCATAGAAAAGCTAAAAACTTTAAAAATTAAGAGTTAGATCGAAGCATCCAATATTCTTCTGTTTGCATCTCATTCAAACGTGAAACAGTTCTATCAAATGCAAATACTTCTTCTTCTCCACTAAAAATACTGGCAGATTCATTTTCCTACAATTTGAAGAAACAAAATAAGTTTTCATTAAATTTATCAATTCATCTTTTACTTTACTATTCAAATTAAAAAAGGAATTTTTACATTTTTCACTTTAAAAATTAATGAATTAAAAAAAAATCTTGTCTTGCTTTAAACACTTTAGAAAAGGGATATAACCTCTTTCACCCTGAAGACTTAGGGCAATTTGAAGACAATAATATTAATTATGGCTACAAGAGATATGGATTGTTTGACAATATGTGGACTTTACTTATTGAGATTCTAGAAGGGCCCCCCTCTCAAGTTCCCTGTGATTGTTCAAACAACAATCTCACACGTACATTATTTTGTTGGTTCCTTTTCTGTAGAACTCTTCAGATTTGTTGTGAAGCCATAAACAAAAAAAATTCTGCACTGTGATGTCCAATGTGGAATGCTTCGTTCTAGGCCCTCTTAATTAAGATGAACACATGAAAAAACATTTTCTTGCATAAAAGCAATGCTTCAATGTAAGTAAGGGGGAAAAAATTGCCATAATGCTTTTTTCAAATTGTTTTAACTTCTTACTAAATAGAGAGCATTCAAGATTTAAATCTTTCTTTCCATTTTTATTGTTTAGCTCAAAACTGGCCACTTAACCAGAGCAGTACACAAAGAAAGGGGCATGAAACAATTTTTAATGGGCCATGAAAAGTTTTAAAGCTTTTCATTTTGAGATTATATGTTTTGAATTAAAATGATTAATATACTAATCCATTGTTATGCTACAACTTTACATGTACAAAAAACTAGTTCCCACACAAAACATCATTAAGAAGCAAGCAGAAACAACTCTCGAGCCATTTTATGACAACACACTGTCAGTATCACAACCCTACAGTCTCAATCGCATGTGTACCGTGATTTTTGGGAGAATATATTTTCAGAAACAAAAATAATTTAAAAAGGCTGATTTACTCTATATGCTGTCTTTTAAACAAACATGAAGCCTACATTCTAAAGTGGAATATAACACAATTGCAAAATTTTATGCACATGAAGAATTTATCTCTTTTGTTGGCTTTGTGTTCTTTTTGAGATAAAAATATTTTTACTTAATTATCTTTATAACAACTATAAAAATATTTATTTATTTATTGCATAATTATTTGGATTTCCCACTTCATCTGATTTTTATAAATCTAACAGAGCATATTATTAAAAACCAGATAAAATACTCTATGCACTCTACATTGACTGAAGCACCCTGCAAATGACATGGCTGCTTCTAGATTTAAAATAGATAGTTTGATTAAGTTTTTAATTTTTTATTGGCTTCTACAGGGTTGCTCAGAATATCCATATGTATGGAAAGTTGAAGGGAAGAAGTCCATTCCAACATGGTTTGGTGATTTTAAGTGCTTCTCTAATAAGAAGCTACTTCTATGTCGAGTTTGATTTTCACCACATCCCGTTGAATTATTTAATATGGATGCTCTGAGAAGTATATTTAACCAAATATGTGCTATTTTTGTTAATGGCAGAGAATTTATAGTTTTTTTTTTTTAAATGTTTGCCAATTTTTACTGATAGTTTTCTAGATATTAACCTACTGTTACTGAGCTGCTGTCTTTGTATCTTCATTGCAATACATGTATCTGAAGTATATGTTGCAGCAATAGCTGATTGACCTAATCTTAACACATTCAAAACGGATGGGGCAATAACAAGTTTATAAACAAATCTTTTAAACACGGAATGGATGTGTGGAGTGGGTACATTTCAAGTAAAAAAATAAAAAGCAGCTGTTTCATGTGGATGAAATGAAAAACAGTCAAATCTTATTATTGTTGTGTGAGCAACTGGTTTCTGATACACTGCAGTCTGAAGACTATCACAATTTCTAAAAATTAAAAAGGTCAAGAAACTGAATGTTATTATTGACTTCTCTATTAATCATAACCCTGGGTGGAGAAGTTTTCTGAAATAAATGTAACCTATACTTTCAGTTCATTTTCTAAATGTTTCCATAACACAAAAATATCAATATATCTCTTCCTCCCCCAAAAGAAAAAATGTTTTAGAGGGATAAAATAGGTTTTGGAGACAACAGCATTTTTTAAATGTTGCATATAAATTTCAACCAACATAGGTGATACTGATGTTACTATAAAGATGATATAATTCATAAAAAAAACTACATATATACTACTACTTTTTTCACACACATAAATTGGAAAGTGTGTGTTTAGAGTTGCACAAATATTAGTTTGGTTACAGCTACAAAAATATTTTTACTAAGCTTGATCAGCTTATACATAATGTAGCAATCCTGAGGGCTAATCAAAGCATTCAAACCACAAAGCTGTTCAGATATCCAAAACTGCTGGAAGAAGATCTTTTGTGATATTGTATGGTATTTAACTGCCATGTAACAGATCCATGACTGAATCTGAATGTTGACAAACACACTGAAAACTCATATAGTGCATTTCATATCAGTGCTAACAGATGACAGCATAAGCAAACAGCAAAGACCAAAGGTTTCACTAACAAGCTTTGTGCCTTGGGGCTGCCATAATAATTTTATAACAAAGTAATGACCATTTAGATTGAATTTGAAAGTATCTTTATTCAATACACAAACAAATATACTTACACTTCCTTTTGTTATATTCAGATCATCCATCAAAGCTCTATTTTCATCATCATATATTACAGGGTTTATAACAGCAGGGAGAAATAGCTTCTTTATAGGAACTTCTGAAGAACACAAAACTCGAACCTAAGTTGTTAATTTATCATATCACATATATAATCAGAATACATAACGTACTTATATTATAGAATATTAAATATAGAACATCAAATTTAAAATCATAAAAAAATCAAAACAATTTTTATATATATAAAAGCTATTGAGAAGCAAGCATAAGCAGCAGTTTTTAAATGAAATCAGATTCTAAATTAACTGACTCATAAAATTATCTACACAGGTACTGGGGGAATATAAATGAAAGTTTTTTTAGATCAAAGATGAATTCATATAGGATGTTATATGAGCAATTAATATATATTACAATGAATAATTTTAAAATTACATAATTTAGAGAGGTTTATTATAAGCAGCTACTATTTTTAAAGCAGAAGGAGGAAATAACCAAATTAAAATGGAGATTAAGGAACTATATTAAAGTTTAGATACATATATAACTTTTATTTCACAAGTATGTGCATACACACACCATATTGTAATCAAATTATAATAAATATTAAAACCATAACCTCCAACAGTATTGCAAAAATGCAAGAAAATGTTAAGAACAATTTTTAGAACTAAAGCAAAAGTTTAGAAATCGAAACCAAATGGCCAAATCATTAGAACAGTCAGATTGAAATGTTTCTGCTCTAACTGGGATATGGGCAAAAATAATTCAGTTTTTCATTTAATTAAATGGTAGCCAGGTCAACATTTCTCATGTAATTTTTAAACTATGAATGCAAGTTACAAACAACTGCATAGAAACACCCCCTATGCTAATCTAAAATAATAATAACAAAATAAAATAAAGCACTTTCTTTAAAATGCATAATATATCTAAACTCCAAAAAAGATGCAAAACTCACAAAATATGTAAGTACATAAATCGAATAAATATGTCAAAATGGTCAACTAAAAAAGACTGGAACAACTTTTCACAAGGTGGATCATCAATAACCATGAAAATGCAGAGAAAAATATTGCATTTTTGCATATGTAGCATGCATAGTTGCAATTTTTTAATATTCACGAAGTTTATAATTACAATACAATTTTGCTGCAGAAGTGGAATTATTCTTTTAGTGTAATTAGTTTTTATACTTTTAAGATTTTTATTAATCCCTTTTCCTATATACATAAAAATTATTAATATTAAAAAAATTTAAAACACTTTTCACTTTGTATTTTTTCATATATATATATATATATATAAGATAAAAACATGTGAATTAAAATTATAATTTTAATTTATTAATAATCTCTTAACTTTCTATTGTAATATATGTATAAGCAAGATAAAAAATTCAAAATTTTAATTTGCAATAATCCATTAACTCTCCATTTTAATTTGGATATTTTCCCTTTCTGTTCCAAAAACAGTACCTGCTTATAATAAATCACTCTAAACTGTGTCACGTCAAAATGAATTCCTGACATATAAATGCTCACGAGTAGACACATGACACACTGTTTCAGAAAATTAATAATATTAAATTTGTAAACTTTTAACAACTAATAGCAATTAATCTGAACTGAAACTGATTCACTCAATGAAGATCTTATCTTGGCTATGTCATATTCCTTCTCTCACTTCACTATTGCTAACACATGCTGCTGCTCCTTTCTCCAAATATATTTCCAAAACTTAAAATGTGTGAAAGTTGTTCTTCAAGAACTGGTGCACCTTCTGCACCAAGTTATTTGTGGCTGCATATGTGAATAATAAAAGAAATATTCTACTAGAATCAATGACTGTTACTATCTTTACGCATCAGCATCTAAGTCATTATGTAAATAAACTTTATTTTTTAAATAACAATCTGAAAACCTTTTTAACCGCTTGCCTGATTATCCTGAGTTATCTCGGGTTCGTATATATTGCAGTTAATTATTATCCCGATAAAACTCGGGAGCAGCAGAATTTGTCAGTCCAATTTGTTTTATCACGGTTTTACTCAGCCTGGAGGAAATGAAAGGAAATATTCAGCTTTGATTGGCAGTTTGCCAAGATTTGTTGGTTTTGCGGTTCTTTCGACGGGACTGGTCACATGTTTCCCTATTGTATAGTATACATTGGCTTGTGGATTAGTAATGTATAAAGAAGGATAGTTGAGATGAAAAAAAAGTAAAATAATGGGGATAATGCAAGACAGCGAAAGCGATGATTTTTCAGATAATGATTACGAAGAGGTGGACATTTTCCTGCTACTGAAAAATAAATCTAATCCAACGAGACAGTGTACTCTGTGCTCCCGTAAAAGAGATTCCAGAGGTAAGCCACAAAGAAAAAAAGACCACATATCAGTGTACGGAATGTCAGGTATCACTTTGCATTGTCTCTTGTTTCAAAAACATCATACAAAAACTAATATTTAACTTTTTTCATTTGCCCGAGATAACTTGGGATAGTAAACTAATAGTAAAAGCAAATGCTTTTAAACCTGTAAAAAATTAAAGATTCAACTTTAAAACTACATATTTTGTTTTGTTTGGTTTTCTTGTACTTAATAATAAAATAAAAAATGTGATGATTTTTCGCAAATTTTTTCAAAAAAATTTGTAAGGGAAGCGGTTAAGTAATGTAAATGCGAAAGGTATAACTATAAGCGGCTTCAAAGTGGACATTTTCTTATTTTATTAGAGTTTAATACATTTTTAAATACGGTATATAAATACCATAGTTCCCCTTTTTAAACTAATTTTACCATTTGAAAATCAAGATGGGAATATGTAATTTAATTTCTGAAGAAAGCAATTGCAGTAAGAACATGACAAATAAAAAGTAATTATGTATAAACTACTGGTAACTATCAGAGTATTATTTCTTTATAAGAAACCTACATTCCAGTAAGAACACACAGTAATAGTATTAACATTACAATATCTGATGTTAATTATCTGCCCAGTCTTGTACAGTCACCACATCTCCTCATCTCCTATGAATAAGTCTTGACCACAGTTCCCAAGAGGGACAATAGAGAAACGAAGAAGGAGGGCAAACAAGATATCCAGATTTTTAAAGATTGAATACATGGGCAGTAGATAAGGCTACACTGAGCTGGAATGTAAATAACAGAAGTAAGGTGAAATCACACATGTGGAAAGTTCTAAGTGCGAGAACGCTTTCTATGTTCAGGTACCTTAAAGAAATATCTGAACAAAATATATTTCAAATAATAAATATAATAAATGCATAGGAAAATAAAATACAGAAATGCAATTATAAAACAAAAATACAAATTGAATACACTGAATAATAATAATCAAGAGAATACAGTTTATATTTAACTATTCCTCAGAGTGGAAAACTATGTATGATAGAAGAAAGGAAAATTATGTGAATATTTTTTAAATTTTCAAAACTTAGCACTAAAAAGCTAAAAGGAAAATATGCAAGGAAATAAGGTAATAACATTATTTGAAGGGAGGAAAAATTAATCTAAATTAATTTGAAAACAAAATAAAAATGAATACCTTATTGTCATATAAAGTATCAATAAGTGTTATAAATCTCCTAGCTTGGGATTTTTGACTCCGAGTCAGTTGTGGGATATTTCTGATTACCACAGTATCAAACACTTGACTTATGGTAAGATAATCAATTGCACCTAAAGGCTAGAAATAATTTGTTTATCAGATGCACATTTATCAGGAATAAACTTAAAAAGAGTTTTATAAGGAAAAAATTCATATTTATTCAGATTTTAAAACTTAGTTAATTTAATTCAGATAATTTTGAATATGAAAAAGGAAAGGTTTAAAACTTAACTGCTGCATAAAATTTAGTTCTGCCTAGCAGGTTAACACTAAAGCAACAAGATGGCGTGCCTTCCTTACAAATAACTTCAAAAAGGACTTTCTAAATGAATGAAGCTACACGAGGAGCCATATCTCCAAACCTCTCAATGAATGCGGTACCTGCTCCAATCCATTTACAAAGAGAAACACATCATCGGCACATCAGATACATGTCTGAGGAATCATGCTCATTAACCATAATGGGATACAATGCTACGGGAGACTTAACCAATGAAACTGAGTATGGAAATTACATGTCTGAAAAGTGAGGATGAGAGCATTTTGTTTACTAAATTAACACATGCTGTGAACTGTTTGGAGTTTTTGTTATTATTATAGCAAACTCAATTTATGATGTGACATTTATTTTAGATCATAACTTCCAATGGATTTTTATGCTAATGGTAAAATATTTTTTTCATCTTGATATGAGCAATTTGATATTGTAAGCAACATAGTAATGCATTTTTTTACCTCATTTGTTCCCATTAACAAAATCAGCTAGAATATTTTTTTCCAGTTTAAGAAGATTTTCTTCGCACATTAACAGAAGTGTTAAGGCCCGTCCACACGAGTATGCGCGCAACGGAGTTGACACAACTTTTTTGACGCCGGCGTAAATTCGCTTGACGTAGAAGACGTAAAACTGAGTTCACTCCTGTTCAGCTTTTTTGCCTGTGACGCGCGAGCCGACCGAGTTCTTATCACGTGTCATAATCAGAAAACCTTCTTGCTTACCCATTTCAATATGGTGTCAGAACCACACACAGATGAGTTTTTGCTTAGAAATATCATAACTGTATACAGCAATAAAGTAATCAGCATTGTTCATGCCATCTTCAGATTTCTCAAACTGTATATATTGGTATAAATTTAAAATTCTCATTAAAGGGGAAAACTGTATATTTATAAAGCAATGATTCGACCAGTATATCTATATGCTTCACCTATTTATAACACCGTAAGTAATAGGAACCTAAATAAATCACAATTTCTACGAACTCAAAGTTTCTGCCTTACAAAATTCTTCTTAATTATTATAAATATTGGCTATATCATGTGTAATAAAAAGCTCTATAAATATCCCAATATTAAATACACCAAAAACTAACTTCAGCAATATAATAACTTCTAAAGTAAAGCAGTTGACTGTGAAAGAGTATTCAATAAAATACAATTACGAAATTTTGGAGGAAAGTTACAACTTGTGTCATACAGCAATCATTTATTGAAGTTTAATTAAATTACCTTTGCAGCGACTTCTACTTGTTACATTATTTTTCACAAACACTGCTATCACGGATAGCTGAGTGGTCAGCACGCTGCTTTGCAAATGGAAAAGTAGCGAGTTCGAACTTCACCCGTAGACAGTATATAATTCAGTTAGCTTTTCTCGTTTGAAAACATGTTTCTTATATTTAATCATGAATTATTATATTCTTATTTTACCTATTATTATTGTTTTATTTCTTATTTTATTCATTAATATTATTGTTTTTAATTTAGTTTAAAAATGTGCAATGCAAATAGAAATCCTTATGTAATAATATATCTGCATCTCTTTATCATATATCATCTATAAATTCTCTCTTTATTTTTACTTTATTGCATATTTTATCATGCACATAATTTCTCATAAACTGTCCAAAGTTTGAACCGCATTCTAAATTCAAATATAAATAAAAAGAAAAAACAAAAGTCCAAGGGAAGGGAAGTTAAAAAAATATGAAGTTGGTTTTATTATATGGTGGATGGTGTATATAAAGATAATTCTCTTAATTTAATTCTCTTTATATACTGTATTCCAAACCAATTTCATAAATCCTAATTTTCATACAATATAGAATCTGCAAGTCTGTGAAACTGGTCAATACTCATCCTGAAGTAATTAAAAAACAAGTAATAAAAAAATTACGTCAATTCCTACTAAGGTTCACAAAGAAAAATTTAAAAAATACAAATAAATAAATAAATAAAAATACAAACAGAATTTTTTAAAATTAACAATTTAAAAAATTTTAATTTGTGAAAAAGCTGTATTAACATCAAGTGTCATTCATTACAAGTTTAAAAAATAAAATAAACTAATTAAATAAACTAAATTAAAAAATTGTATTTGAACTTGAGTGAATGAATAAAAAGCATTTTTAGGTACAGTCAAAAGTCGTTAATCCGGACTCGTCGGGACTTCGGCGATTCCGGATTATCGATTTTTCTGGATTATGGATCATCAGTTAAATCTGGTAAGATGGCATGCAGAAATTACAAAATTAAAAATATGAAACCGTGATTTATGAAATAAAGAACAATTATGATCTAAAGGGTATCAAAATTTACAAAAAGAAAAAGCTTAATATTTATTTGTTTACTTTATTAAACATTTCTTTCAATGTAAGTTGCTTCGTTTCATGTGATAATACTTTCTCTTTAATTCTATTAAACAGACATAATTTCTTGTTTAGTTACAAAGTTCCGCTGTTCAAGTCCTATAATTGCTGTGTTGAGAATACCGACTAATTTGTCAATTAAAATGTTTTCGTTTTCAACAACCTGTGGGTCACTTTCTTCACTATCGGAAGCGAGTTATAATGACAAGAAACTTGATTTAAATCATATCAAAGACGGAGTACATCGAGATGAAATACTACACTTAGTAAGGAATTATAAGCCAAATAAAATAAAAACATCTGTCCTGAAGATAAGGATAGTGCTGACAGATCAACTTCCAATCCGCGGCGTGAAATTGATAAACAGATTTCGGATTTCGAAACATACTTTCGCGTTGTAGATACAAATTACATATTAGTAAATATATATCGGAAATTCTATTTGACATAATCGAAAGTTCAAGCTTACTTTTATGAAATTGCTCTAACTGTCCGCAAAAAATAATAAGTCGGATCCAATTCGAAGATTTAAGGAACAAGGCAATCTGCAACATTAACTGAATTAAATAATTTTTGCTTAGATTATACCACCCGTTACACATTAAACGCGCATGCGCAAAAACATATTCGCAGCCGTAAAGGTCTTACGTGCACTCGTAAACGCCTGTGCGCATGCGTGAACACGACGCATGCGCAGAAAGTTTGTAGCTTTGAGGTCCATATTATAGATCATTCCGGATTATGGGTGTCCGAATTAAAGACTTTTGACTGTACTGAAAACTGAAAATTTGAACAAGATATAGGGAGAGTGTGAGCTAATAGTAGGAATTTAATAATTCCGGATATTCATTTCGCAAACGAAGCAGTAAAAAAAAAAAAAAAACCCTCTTTGAACAGGTCACTCTAAATAAATCTTTCGAACCCTTTCTTACCATTTTTTTTTTGCGGTTTTGCCTCTGCTTAATAATTGCACTTAATAGTAAAGTTTCAGCTATAAAAAAAAATCATCTGATTCGGAGAACTTGCCACAAACATACAGAAGCACAGCGAAGTAATAAGATACAGCTCTGTTGACACTATATTACAGGGTCACGGGATTTTTGCACAAAAATAATTCTATTGGTTAAACACACTCTTTGCAAGCGTACTCGTTTGGACGCTTTTACGCTGGTAACATAAAAGCATGTTCGTCAGCTACGTCGAGCGTACTCGTGTGGACGGGTCTTTAAAGTTTACATGAACCATAACTGCAAGTTCAAATCCAGCTGAGCAATTTTCTGATTTTTCCACTATAAACAAATGCTATATTTATTTTTGGGTAACTCTGTAATTAACAGTATTTTCTTAAATTTAAATTAAAATTTTTACATGTACAATAATTTTATGTTATTTTATTATTATACATAAAATACAAGTTCTAACCAATGAATTATTTACAGGATAATTTTATGTTATTTACATAAAAATAATTATTATATTTTTATGTTATTTATAAAGGGTTAATTTCCCCCTTAAAATAGAAAAAGCTTGGATTATTAAAATCTATGCTTTATTAAAAATCCAATTATCAGAAATTTCTTTTATTTTATGATACATACACAAAGTATCAGATTTATTTTCGTTCTTCTTATAAGTAAATGAATGATCAAATATGTATGTGTATATGCATTACATTTCACAATTAATTACTTTTTTGCCTCATTAATTTTTTACACCTTTTATTTATTTTCCCATTTCAATCACTTATTTTCCATCTGCTATTAAGTCTCTTTATTATTAATTTAAAATTATTACAACTTATTTTTAAAATGAAGGTCTGAAAAATTAAGGCACTGAAATCTTTGCAAACTATTATGTTTGTTGCGAGACTGATGGAAGTTTCCTACTGGATACAAATCTCACCATCTGCTTTGACTGCTGATTGGCTTAGTACCTGACAGCAACTTAAAAACAAAATTCAGGTGACATGTCTGTGTGGTAAGCTTTACAATGCCACTGAGCAACACTGTCTCCCTGTCTCCTTGCATAGATAGACTTCAAGAGAAATTCATTTTTATTTAAATTACACATGAACAAAATCCATGGAACATGAAACTCTCATAGAAAACAAATTGATATGAACTATTGGACCATTCAATAACTAATGGATTCTATCAAAAAAATATTCAATGAAAATCACAAAAACACTATATAACAGATTGAATTATTTAGTTATTCATACTTGAATTTTGCGATTGCATAAAAAGTGTTTCAAGATTTTTAGGATACAATATGATATAATCTAAGAAAAAGAAATGTAAACTAATGAATAATATACAAATTCATATAACAAAAAATTTGAATACCCTATCACATAACTCCTCAAATGTGCAGTCTGCAACACGTCCACAAGTAGTATTAAGAGTAACATTACGATTCTTGATAGTTAAGATTCTGGAACGAATAACTATTAAAAAAAAGGCAAGTTAGTATTTCAATCTAATTTATATATCTATTAAATACAGTAGAAAATTACAAAAATGGGTACTTATGTATTAATGCAACCACATTGGCGCAACCTGGTGATTTTTTACAGATGAAAAAGTTAAAAGTTACTTTTTTGATTTAAACTGGTGATTTTTGCAAAATTTTAAAAAAAGATTCAAACTAACAATGTTTATTGTAAGTCAGGCAACATTATCAACATCTGAAAAGAAAACACACTCAAGTAATTTATATTAAATAAGGATTACATTACACATTAAAAAGTAAAACACTCATATTTTTCTTCAAATCTTTCTCTAATTTTTGCATGCTATTCCTCTCCCCAAGTACACAGAGATCTGTTTTCACTTAAACATCAAAGAATTGCAGAGACTTGGTATTGTGCAAATATATGCTGTCTACAAAACTCACCTCATCGTTGTTTGTTAAGAAAATTTTTGGCAAAACTCTGCATTCTTACAAATATTTTACCATGGTTTCTTCTATTGCTAGAAAATTCCACAAGCCCATATTTTAAAATCATGTTTAATGTAAAAAATATTGTTATTTCTTTATAAAAACTGCTAAAACTTGAAATACAACAAAAGAATGCATATGAAAATGGTGACATTGCCTGGCTGAAGGATTATTATGAGTACGTTTGTCTGAAGAATGGTTATGCACGTGGTTGTTAGAGTTTGGTACATTCTGGAAATTTGGCAACTTCTACTAAAGTATTTGCGATAACACAAAAATACCGAATAATGCACAAACTAATTTGACAGAACTAAATCTGCACCATTACTACTCACCATCATTTTCTCGACTAGCCAATATCTTGAAAGCTTCATCTAATTCCCGGTTAGCATGACATTCTGAAAAACTAAAACAAGCTGTGATACCAGAAAATAATATAAAATATTATGCATGTCAGAAAATACATAATATAAATAAAATATCGCAAGCACTCAATAATAAAATTTTTACCTATATCCTATACCTCTATCTCTATTATATACCTATTTTCAACAGTGTGACAAAGAATACAACTTGATTTTGTCCTATGCATTATTGGTTTGATATATATCTCTCAGCAAATAAATTTAATACATTCTTTCCCACTGAATAAGATTTAGCCTTTCTACACCTTTCTTAATGTATTTCAATTTTTAAAGAGCATCCTCTTATCTTTTGTTTGTGATTTAACTAAGCCTCTTTAGCATTTTAAATAAGAAATATCTTAAGACTGAAGAAAGAATCAACAGCAATTAATCCAAAGCAAATTTGAAAAAATTAGGCCACTTGTTTCCTTTCAATACTGAAATTTCAATTTCATGAAAGCTGCATCAGTAGGAAAAATGCCTTTTTCTTTATAGACATTTTGCCTATAAAAAGGCTGAAAAAATACATGCTTCTTTGTTGTAGGTAAGGTCCAAATTTGTATAATAATTAAATGTACTGGAATCTTGGGGAAAAAAATATAGAAATCTGCATGAAGGATGCTCAGAAATGGTTTCTATGTCAGTGATGGCTACAGAAGCAATAATTAGCAATTTACTGCTTGTGCCTTGGGAAGGTAAAAACACATACTTTACTTATTCTTGATGTTTCTAATTATTATTAATTTGTTTAATTTTTGTCTCTACCAATTTGAAAGGAAGGAGTATACAATATTTTGTCGAAAGAGAGCTTAAATACAGACAGAACATGGTTCTGGCACTTCTCAGTTTTTGAGTAAAATTATAATTCAAGGTTGAGCCTCTTATAAGATGAGTTCTGATACTTTTATTATTTATATTAAATACATTTCTTCTCACTAATCCTTTTATCATTTCTTATTAATTATTAATTTTTGTCTTTTTACATTCTATTTAATTTTAATTACCATTATTTTGTTCATTTTTATTTATGTTTCCTTATGGCCTTCTACAGGATTTCAGTACTTCTAATTTTAGAAATTAAGCCCTGGCAGTAAGATATTTAATTTTCAAGCTGTCAGGTAAAATTTTATCCTACATAAGCAGGTGGAAAATTAAATGATAAATAAAAGCTTTAAATCATAACATGTTACATTATGTAAAATAAAAATCTGGCTTTATAATTACAATACAAATTCTCAAATTAATAAACATGGATGTTATATGTCAAGACCTATTTAGAAAAAGACAATCAAAAGTTAACATTTTGAATTATCTGTAAATGCATGACCAATGCACCAAAAAATATAAATTTCACAGTTCTGAACCACTTGTACTCCGCATTAACCAGAAATAGCATAATTCACATACAAAAACCAATTATTTATTGTTTTGCCTGACATTATTACATAATTTTCTAAGCTTGCTTTAAGTATGTGCATCTACCTAATAAACAATATTTTCATAAGAAAAATCAGTAAAGTTAACAAGTTATACTGTCCGAAGAGTAAGATCCAGAATCGTCAGGACATTTGGAATTCTGGATTTGGTAATTTTCCAGATTTTAGATTATTAATCTAAATCTAGTAAAATAAAATCTTGTAAGTCTAAATCTTGTAAAAAGTCTAAATCTTGTAAAATAACATGCAGAAATATTAAGATCAAATATTTGAAATAGTTGTTTATGAATAATAAAGAATTTATGACATCAAGGGAATCAAAATTTCTAGAAAAAGCTCTTACTTATTCCTTTGCTTTATTAAACATTTTTTTTTCAATGCAAGTTGTTTTAAGTTGCTTTGTTTTTTGAGCTAATACTTTCTCTTTAATTTTATAGACAGACATAATTTCTTATTCAGTTAAATGTTCAAGTCCTGTAATTACCATGTCAAGAATTGTCAATCAAAATTTTGATTGTTCTCAACAACATCTCTGTCAATTTTTCACTGTCAGTAGTGATATTTTCTGGCTGCAGAAACATATTTTGCTATCCAATAATTGACTGATTCCTGGGGCACTGTCATCACAATGGAATCTGTTATATTATCTTCATTTATTGTAACTTCACATTTCCTTGCAGACTCTATTAACTAGAAAGTTTCGCTTTTTGAGTATGATATCCAGAAATTTTCAAATTTGTGACTATCATCAAAAAGCTTACCTTGCATCCAATATACAATATTAGGGGTGTATCATGAGAGTGGCATATAAAGACATCTTGTTTCGCTAAATTTTGTCTTTCTTCTATTGCGTGCTGACAAAGTTAATCCTGAATTATATTAATTTGGTTAGTTGTTATACTTATGCTTCCCCACACATGCATAAGGCTTAACTGATTCCTGAATAAATAAATTCCCAAATATACTTAAAGATTATCCAGAACTAGTGCACTAAACATTTTAGAGCCCCAGGTTCGAAACTGGGCTCCGAAGTGTCTGTCTAAATTCTAAAAATTTTGCATCCAAACGTCTTCTTTAACATCTAAAGATTTTGCAATTCCTTAATTTTGTTCCTCGGTGCTTTTCTAAATTTTAAAATTCTGCCTACTCTCAATTCACTATTGGGAATGAAACTGGCAACTAATGACATGCTAAAATTTATCGTGCACAGAGAAAGTTAAGCCTGCATTATTAGTTTTGTTATTCATTATACTTATGTCTATTTCCTGCATATGCTTAATGTCCAAGTCCTGATGAAACAAATTTGCTCATATACATTAAACTCTCTCTTAACTGGCTTTCATTTAACCGGATCTTTGCTTTAACTGGCTGTAATTAATGTAAGTATAAAAATAATAAAATAAGCAAAAAATTACAAAAAATTGAAAATTGCATAATTGTATTTTAAATATGAAATAAACTCTAAAAATGAAATTAATTAATCAACTGATTGCCCTGCAATATGGGTGGAAAAGCTGTTGACGAGAAAGCAGTTCAATAACCGAGGACATGTGTTGACCTTTAAGGGAAAAGGCCATATATACCTCAATCCAAAGAATGGTGATTGGTCAGATGATCACAATAAAGTTGGTTGCAGGGAGGGGGGAATAAAGGAAGAAATGATGAAATTTTTCACAACTTGTTCCCAATAGCATTTGAATGTGTTGAAATTTGGAAATTCGTTTAAAATGGCCAATTGTGGCAAAAGAAAATATGTTGCTGTCTCAAAGGAAAGGTAATTAAATGCCTTAGAAAGGAGGTGAAAACCTTAAATCTATTGCTTCATCTTTTGGTGTTGGCAAAAGTACTTAAGTGACTGGAAAAAAGAAAGAGGAATGTGATCAAGTTATTTTGTAGTAACCTTGATGGTAAAAGAAACAAAATTCATATGCTCACAATTTCGGGAGACAAATTATCAACTCACTGTGAAGCCGCAACAAAATTCGAAGAAAAATGGGAAGCAGTTATTAACAAAAAGCCTTATCTAACGAAAAAGTTTATAAAAAGCAAAATTATGCATCAAGTCACCAAATTTCCAGCCTAAGGGGGGGGGACTGAAATTTTAAACATTCCTTCTAATGCTATATAAAATTTTTGTAATAATAAATTGACACACTTAACAAATGCTTACTTTAAAAGAAAAGTATTTCCATCAATATCTTTTCTTTCTTTTTCTTTTTTCTTTTTTTCTTTTTCTTTTTCTTTCTTTTTTTTTTATCATTCTCTTTTTTTAACCAGAATTTTGCTTAGCCAGCTTAACCCTGGTAAATTTAGACTGTTAAGAGGGAATCTACCATACTTAAGGTGTTACTTTACCATTATGTGATTACATAATGGTATTACCATTACTATTATGTGGCCTGGCATACATTTTGGTGGGTTTTTTTTAATGGTAAACAATATCTAGTTATAACAATACTTTATATATGGCAAACACACACACTACATGGTAGGTAATAGCCAACAGATCATTACCTGCCATGTGACAAAATGCATGGCAGGTGTATAATGGAAAAGTACCCTCAAGGTTTATCAGAAAAAATTCAAGTAGCAATAAATGGACTATGAATTTTCGTCTATAAATACCATTTACAAAATATATTTTTAGAAATTTCTGTTAAATTTCTCATCATCAACACACTTAACACTTTGCAAAGCAGTTGGCTGAAGTCATCAACTCCATGGCATTAAAAGTTACCAAGCTGTTTGGTATTCAATTACTGATAGTTAACACAGACATTGCTTTAGATATTGCTGCCTGAGTCATTTCTCAAGCAGCAAAGAGTTGATATTCATGTGGTGATGAAAGCTAACAAAAATTTAAAAAAAAAAAAAAAAGTTTCGTCAGATCGGTGTGAGGGTTATATGATATTAAGCATAAAATAAGCAATAAATATTGAGAGAATTGTTTGGTTTGAGATGAATACTGAGCAATATGGTGGCTACGGAGCCAAATTATTGACCATACATATTTATGCTAATAAATGATTGTGCTTCTTAAATATGGTGTTTTGTTCAGTGGTGAAGTGAAATTAAGAATTAGGACCATACATATGCTTTATGACGAAAACATACTGCATACACATGAGGCATGACGCATGTCCCATTCTTGGAATCTAATTTTTTCTCTCTTAAAAAAAAAAAAAAAAAAAAAAAAAAAAAAAAAAAAAAAAAATTCTAGTTAGTCAGGAGGTCTGGATATTGACGTCCAGATTTTGGACTTTGTACTGTATTAACAGTATGTTATTGCAAAAGCTATTTCTTGAAATGCATAAACATAGTTTAAAGATGTGATTTAAATTCTAAAAATTATAACAAAATAGCATACACAAAAAACTTGTTTCTTGTAGCAACAAATTTTGTCCTATAATCCACACCAGAATCCAGCCACATTGGTCTGCAATATGCCTTTTAAAAAATAAATATGTTACTACAATTATTTAAAACATTTCTTACATTTCAACAAAATTATATAAAAATATTTAGAACTTACTTTTAAGACAGCTATAAATGGAAGAAAATTGCTCCTTTGCAGCCCATTTTTATATAAATCTGCACATAAAAACACATTTATGCAATTATCATCCAGTTAATTTTCTTTATATACTGATAAAATATCAAAAACATTCTACTAACACACATATGCATCCAGATACTCTTCCGATTTTATTAAATAAGAGTGTATGTATTTATTGGATTTTGATGAAAGTTTCCCACCACCGCAAATATCGTCTACACAAACAGTTCATGTTAATCATATTTTATCAAACGAATTTGGCATTTGAAAGAAACAGACTTGCTTTAGAATATTCTGTTATGAAATTTAAAAAAAAAATATCATTAGCATTAAGTACAAGGTGTCTGAAATGGAACTATCATGCTACCAGATTAGAACCATCATTTATTTCCAGTTCTGTTGCAAAAAGTCAGCAACAGAATGTCACCAAATCATGTGTAGAGCTTTAGGTACTAATGTTGTATCATATGACACTATGAAGGTTTGGTACCGTAAGTTAAAAAACAAGAACTATGACATACAAGAAGCATATCGCTCTGATTGGCCTACTGATGTTCATGAGGCCTGTCTGTGAGAACTTGTAGAAGAAGAATCTATATGCAACTACACGAGAGCTTGCTAAGGAGTTAGACGTTACTGACATGTCCATTAGTCGCGCTATGAATAGCATAAACTTGATGTACAAGTTCATTGGCCAGGTGCCGCATGAGCTGACTCATGCAGATAAGGACAGACGTGTTGGGGCCTACACCAATCTGCTTTAATATCAACACAAGGACAACATTCTGGACCAGATATCCCTTGCAATGAAAAAATGGATTTACTTCAACAACACAGGTCAAAAAGAGGGTTGGTCTGCGCCCAGTGAGCCCATTGGAAGCATCACAAAGCACAATATAACTAACAAAAAGATCATGCTTTGTATCTGGTGGGATTGCCATGGTATTATCCATAAAGTGTATCTGGAAAAAAGTAAAACCCTCAACAGTAAGGTGGACAGCAAGATGCTAATCCATGTTGACGCTCCTATCAAGGGAAAAACGTCAAACTGAGTTCCAGTGCAAAAAGGCAATGTTCCATCAAAATAATGCAAGACCACATGTGTCTGCATTCACCAGCTGGACTCTGTATGGATTTGAATGGATCTTTTGCCACACGTACCACAGAGCCTCGATATTGCTCCTTCAGACTTCTACCTCTGCTGATACCTGCAGCTACATCTTGCCGGTGATATCCTCCCTTCTGCACAGGACATTTGAAATGAGGTTGATCTGTTTTTGGACTCGCAGCCACCAAGTTTCTGGGCCGAAGGCTTTGAAAAACTATCAAAATGTTGGCAGAAAATCATAGATTTGGATGGTGATTACTACCTGCACTAAAATTACTGCTTTCATGTTTTTTCCTAACTTTGTTAAAAAAATTTTTGGCTGAAAACTTTTGATACAACCATATATGTATATGTAGCCAATCAGCAAGAGCCGCAAGAACATCTGTCCTGTTACGTCACAACTTCTGTCTCACCTCCCAGCCTCTTTTTGGCCGGTGCCGTTGGAGTGAAAAGATCGCTATGCAATGCTCCCGGTACAAGTCTTATTCCTGTGTGTATAATAAAATATATTTTTATATTGAATGCTGTTATATTGGATGCTTTTATATTGAATGCTGTTTTTCAATTATGAAGTCAGATCAACTAATATACCACCTTCAATAGCAACCATCCCTCAATGGTGACTTTCGGATGAAAAATCCTTTACAGTAACGAATACTTCTGGTTTTGATTCTTCCCGCTGGCTCATGTTCCACTTGAAATATGGCCGAAAACGAAACTTCTGCTGTGGGGATTCCACCTTTTATTCAAGTTGATCCATCTCTTGAATGTTGGAATTCAATCATCGTCACATGTTGGAATCTACCTTTGAACTAGCTACTCCCAAACTGATAACGGAGCAAAAGGCAAAATTCTACTACGTTGTAGCTCACTTACCAGCTAATATTGCAACTGTTGTTCATGATGTCATCATTCAGCCTGATAAAGTCAACCCATATGATGATGTGAAATCAAAAGTTATAAAAAGATGTTCGGAATCTAAAACTCAAGAAATTCGTCGGCTGTTAGCAGGCGAAAGCCTCGGAGATAGAAAACCTAGCAAACTTTTTGGCATCATGAAACGTTGCGCAGAGAATCACAACATAGAAGATTCACTTTTATTTGAACTCTTTAATCAAGCGATGTCTGTTCCTGCTCAAACTATTTTAGCTTCAATCTCTCCTATTACTTTGGATAAAGCTGCGGAGGTAGCTGATCGAATTTTAGCTATCAACAACACCAATATATCTGCCATCATCTCTAAAAATGAATCTTCTTCTTCAGCTCAACTTCATGAAGAAAATAAAGCTCTTCGAATAGAGGTGTCTGAACTTTGTTGTTCCAGGAGTTCATCTCATACCAGTTTTGCTGGCTACAAATGTTCTAAATCGCGGGCCAAAAATTTGTGCTCGTATCATCGGAAATTCAAGGGTAGTGCAAAAAAAGGTGTTTCTCCATGTTCCTATAAGGGGAACTTGAAAACGGAAGAGTAGAGGTGACCAACTCTTCCCATCCTTGTACATTGCGTCACCTTTTCATTAGTGACCGATCAACAGTAGGTGTTTTCCAATAGATTCGGGGAGTGATGCCAGTTTAATTGTTGCAAATAAATATGAACTGCAGGCACCAGTACTTCAAACTTTTCCTGCTGCTAATGGTTCATCCATTAATGTTTATGGCCAAAAAAAACAATGACTATTAATTTTGGTTTAAGACACAATTTTACTTTCTCTTTTTATATTACAATGTTACATGCTCAATCATAGGGGCAGATTTTTTATATTACTTTAACTTATCTCCTGATTTACGTAACAAGCGTCTAATTGATTTAGCAACAAATTTTAAAGTACCTGCCAAATTAAATACTTGTAATATTTTTTCTGTAAAATCTTCTTGTGTTGCTAATGTATTTGGTAAAATATTGTTACAATATCCAGAAATAGCTAAATTACCAGATCCCAATCAATCTGTGAAGCATAATACTGCACATTATATAAATACTAAAGGTCCTCCAGTTGCTGCTAAACCTAGACGGTTAGCTTCTGACCGTCTCAAAATTGCAAAAGCTGAATTTTAGTCATATGAGACCTTCAAAAAGCTCCTATTCATCGCCCTTGCACATGGTGTTTAAGAAAGGGTCTCTTGAATGGAGACCTGTTGGCGATTATCAATCTCTTAATGCACAGACTGTTAAAGAAAAATATCCTGTTCTTTGCATAGCTGATTTTACCTCAGAATTATATGGTAAACAAATGTTTAGTCACATTGATCTCATTAAATCCCTTAAATAACCAAATTCCCTTAAATCCAGATGATGTACATAAAACAGCTATATGTACTCCTTTTGGTTTGTTTGAAAGTTTGAGAATGCAGTTTGGTCTTTGTAATGCTTCCTCAACCTTTCAATTTTTGATGATTTACTTGTAGCTTCTAATAATGAACAAGAACACTTACAACATTTAAACCTGCTATTTTCTAAACTTCAGGAAAATGGTTTATGTATAAATGGAGAAAAATGCAAATTTGGTCATCTACCACAGATTTCCTAGGATTTAAGTTATTGGGTGAAGGAATTGAACAACTCCCTAATCGTGTAAAATGCATCCTAGATTTTCCTCAGCCCCAGACTCTCACACAATTATGCCAATTCTTAGGTTTACTTAATTTTTATAGACGCTGTACTTCCAAAGCTGTTCATATTCTAGCACCCTTAGTCACATTCCTTGAAGGCCACACAAATAAAAAGAGACATTCTCGTTCCAAAGCTTCTACTGAGCAATTACAATGGGACGATGAAGCAGCACTCGCCTTCAAAGCGTCTAAGGATGCTATCACTAAAGCAAGCCTGTTATGGCATCCCATGCCCGGTGCAAAATTAAGTCTATGGGTTGATGCGTCTGATGTAGCAATCGGTGGCTCACTCATGCAACTTGTTAAACAACAATGGGAACCTATAGCTTTCTATTCAGCTAAACTAAGTAAATCTCAAAGGAATTGGTCCACTTACGACCGTGAACTCTATGCTATGTATTCTTCAGTAAAAAAATTCAGGCACATGCTTGAAAAGAGAAATTTTAACATTTACACTGATCAAATTTGCATTCCAGCAACATTCTGATAAATGCAGTCCTCGCCAATTACGGCATTCAGATTTTATCTCCCAGTTTAATACTCATATTGAATATATATTAAAGGCTCTGATAACATTGTCGCAGATGCACTTTCCCGAATTGAGATAGATGATATTTCATCTATTGTGATCGATTTTCAAAAATTCACTGCTGCACAATCAAGCGATGAAGAACTTCCACAACTCTTAGCATCAAATACATCCTCACTAAAATTAGAGAAACATTATTTTTCTCTCGAGGATATTCATCTGTATTGTGACATGTCACAAAAACATCCCCTTCCTTTTGTTCCTCAGTCTATGAGATTAACAGTTTTCAAAACATTACGTTTTTTCTCTCATACAGATACCTCAGCCTCCATCGATTTAATTGCTAACATTTTGTATGGCCAGGCATGAGAAAAGAAATAAAATCTTTTGTGCAGAGTTGTGATCAGTGTCAATGAGCTAAAATTGCCAAACACACCAAATCTCTTATTGGCATATTTGCTGAACCCGATGCTCATTTCGCGCACATACATATAGATTTTATAGGTCCTCTACCTCCATCTGACGGAAAACAATTTTGCATGACTTTCATAGACTGGTTCACAAGATGGCCGGAAGTTATTCCAACAACAGATATGACTGCGGAAACAGCTGCTTGTGCTTTAGTACATGGCAGGATATCAAAATTTGGATGCCCAAATTACAATTACATCTGACCAGGGTAAAAATTTTGAATCTAATCTTTTTAGAGAACTTACTCGCACACTTGGGTGTAACAGGATTCGAACTTCTGCATATCACCCACAGTCAAATGGAATTATCTAACGCTT